TCTCACTGTGTATGTAATGGTGATGTAATATTCACTTTTGGTTACTTAATCTTATTATAATCAATGTATCAATATGTGCACTTAAACTATTCTGTTTCTGAGTATTGCAGATTTCATGAGTTTGCAGAAGGTCATGAAGTCCTATCTATTCAATAACAGGAAACATCTTGGGCGACCATTGCTTAAGGAGGATAAACTAAGGAGGATGAAATGAGGAGGGCAGACTGACCTTAACTTTGGCCTGAATACACTGTACTAAAGTGTTATTTTTGTGTTTCCTGTAAGCAAAAAAGGAACTACTCCTTTAATGTTTAATGTTTGCATGTTCCCCCTCCCGTTCTGAGATGAGTAGTTCCCATTGTAACTAGGGGTCCTAATACTGAATAAAAGGCTTTAGAGAGTATTGGGTGAACGGCGAGTTACATGTAACTAAAGTCCTTCTCTCGGTTACTCCCTCCACGCGTGTAAAAGATATTAATCTCTTGTCTTCTCTCGTTATTGAATATTGAGTATAGGTGTAAAGGTGAACCTATCAACTTCACAAATCCCCAGTAACCATCTGTTTATATATATATATATATATATATATATATATATATATATATATATATATATATATAATATATATGCAGTTTCCTTTGTATTAAACCTGGGTAATTTGATTTGGATCTGTTTATATCTAAACTGCACCGAACATATTGGCCCCTATCGGCCACTTTGTAGTTTGCAGTATTGTGTAAATAATCACAATCAACCACCATTTTGATTTATTATTGATATATTGTTTGTATTTGTTTGTTCTTTCTCTTGTAGAGAACCACACACACGTCTTTAAGCACGCAGACATTAAAGAAACGTTCGACATTACCTGGATGTGGACTCCCTCATTTTAACTCACCTGAACGTCTATAATCGCTGTCCTGACCCGACACCCTGTAGTGATTGCAAACCAGCACTCCAGTTTTCTCATATTATACAATCCTCATTACACTGGACTTTCTCAGGATTTACAGAAATGTTCTTGTTGTGAAGAATTTCTAAACCTGATACATGGGTCTGGATCTGGGTCTGGGGCCAGTTCCTGATCCAGTTCTAGATCTGGTCCTGGGTCTGGGTCCAGTGCTGGGTCTGAGTCTGGGTCTGAGTCTGGTTCTGGGTCTGGCCTGAGTCCATGTGGAGGTTTGTTAAATCCAATAGTGAGAGATTTAAACGAGGAGGAAGAGGAGCAGAGTCGGAGCCGGAGGTCGGGTCAGAAAATGAAAATGTTCAAAACATTAAAATGAAAACAAAAGATTAATCTGTTTTTAATTCACCTCAAAGTGACGAGTTTAGTCCTGGTTTAGTCGTGGTTCATTTTGGTTTTGGAGACAAAAAAATGAAGAAAATTGTTTCTTTTTATTTTGTTTTATTTTGAAAGATGAATAAATGATTGACACACAGATTGTTTTGATCCACAAATGTAAATTTTATATTTGTAATTTGTATTTTGTTTTTTAAATATAGATGTGGATTTGTAAATATATGTTTTGTCAATTGAAAATAAATAAATAAAAATAAAAAATAAAATACATTTGTAAAACTGAAAATTATGTTTGTAAAATGTCAATGTGACATGCATTTCACCGTACGATATTTACTACGATATTTTGGCAAATCTAATTGTAGATGAGATGTTTTTTTTGCTTCTGAAATCCCATGACAAGATTTTGGTGTGAATTGTTAGCGTCAGAATCTCAAGAATTCAAGTAAAAACACATTTCTTCATGTCGTCTGCGCTGAAATGAATCATGAGAAATGTAGTTCCCGATGTTTATGAGCCGCTCCTACTAAAGAGCAAAACATTTAAGCAAAGGATTTTACAATTCGATCTGACAGCTCTCAATATTATTGTGAGATTTTTGACAATACGATATCAGGATATTTCAGTTTTTGTTCCGTCCCTCGTAAAATGTGATTTGTGGATCAACAATTTCACAAATTCACTGATTTCCTCTGATGTATTTTTGAGATTCTTTTTGAGAAACCCACAAACGCAGATCCACAGATGAGTCTGTGGATCTGAGACGAGTCTGGAACAGAAATGAACTGAACAAAGCCGATTCTTTATTGATGATTAATGATGAGTAATGTTACAAAATGAACATGTGTGTGAGTAAAAACCTCAGTCTCTTTCTGACGTGACCTGTTGTTACGTCTGTTACAACACTGCCCTCTGGTGGATGCCTGTGGATATCAGTCACATATTTGTGGATCCTGTGAGTTTGTGGAATTTTCTAAAAGAATGTCTCAAAATTACGTCGAGTTTTCCAGTCTCCACTCAAGCCGGAGTTTTTAGAAAGATTCGTTTTCAGAGGTGAAGTCACCGTTTGCGTGTAAACGATGTGAACAAATGAAGGGAAATGTCTCAGCTTTTAAAAATACTTGTGTACGTGTAAACGGGGCCTAAAGAACCTGGAAGTTGTAGACATTGCACCGACCAATCAAATGTGAGCTGTGAGGTCATGATGAGGTGGTGGTCATGGTGGTGGTGGTGGTCATGGTGGTGGTGGTGATGGTGGTTGTGGTGGTTGTTGTGCTCATGGTTGTTGTGGTGGTGGTGGCTTCACTTCATTGGCTCCCAGTGTCTTTTAGAGTTGATTTTAAAATTCTTTTATTCACTTTTAAGTGTTTGCAGGGCCTAGCGCCCTCCTACTTCACTGACTTGATCCACCCTCACATCCCCTCTCGTACTCTCAGGTGTGCAGACCAACTCCAGCTCGCCGTCCCAACAACTAAACGTAGACTTTGTGGGGACGGTGCATTTCTGTTTCTGCCCCTCGGCTGTGGAACCACCTGCCATTAGTGATTAGAGGCCGAGTCTGTACCTGCTTTTAAATCACTCTTAAAAACGTATCTTTTTTCACTGGCTTTTAATAAGTGTACTTTTAAGAAATGTATATTTCTTGTCGAGTATTTTACTGTTTTTTTTAAATGTTTTTAGTAGTTGTATTGTATGTGTAACATATATTTTCTTCTATTGTCTGTCTTGTGTTTGTGTACAGCTCTTTGGCGTACTGTAAAGTTTTCAAAGTGCGTTGTTGTGGTCGTGGTTGTTGTGGTGGTGGTGATCGTGGTGCTTGTTGTGGTGGTCATGGTTGTTGTGGTGGTCGTGGTTGTTGTGGTGGTCGTGGTTGTTGTGGTGGTCGTGGTGGTCGTGGTTGTGTGGTGGTCGTCGTGGTTGCGGTTGTTGTGGTGGTCGTGGTGGTGGTTGTTTTGGTGGTGGTGGTCGTGGTTGTTGTGGTGGTCATGGTTGTTGTGGTGGTCGTGGTTGTTGTGGTGGTCGTTGTGGTGGTCGTCATGGTTGCGGTTGTTGTGGTGGTTGTTTTGGTGGTGGTGGTCGTCGTGGTTGTCATGGTCGTCGTGGTTGTCATGGTCGTCGTGGTTGTCGTGGTGGTGTTCGTGGTGGTGCTGGTTGTTGTGGTGGTTGTTGTGGTGGTTGTCGTGGTTGTGGTGGTGGTTGTTGTGGTGATTGTAGTGTCGTCGTGGTTGTTGTGGTGGTCGTCATTGTGGTTGTGGTGGTTGTTTTGGTGGTGGTGGTGGTCGTGGTTGTCGTGGTCATCGTTGTGGTTGTTGTTTTGGTGGAGGTCGTCGTCGTGGTGGTAGTCGTGGTGGTGGTCATGGTTGTGGTGGTGGTCATCGTGGTTGTTGTGGTGGTCATCGTGGACGTGGTTGTTGTGGTGGTGGTGGTCATCGTGGTCGTGGTTGTGGTGGTCGTCGTGGTTGTGGTCGTGGTGGTGGTTGTGGTGGTCGTAGTGGTCGTGGTTGTTGTGGTGTGGTGGTTTTGGTCGTGGTTGTTGTGGTGGCCATGATGGTGGTCGTGGTAGTGGTCGTCGTGGTTGTTGTGGTGGTCGTAGTGGTCGTGGTGGTGGTGGTCGTGGTTGTTGTGGTGATCGTCGTGGTCGTGGTTGTTGTGGTGGTCGTGGTTGTTGTCGTGGTCATGGTCGTGGTGGTGGTCGTAGTGGTCGTGGTGGTCGTAGTGGTCGTGGTTGTTGTGGTGGTCGTGGTGGTGGTTGTTGTGGTGGTCGTAGTGGTCGTGGTTGTTGTGATGGTCGTGGTCGTGGTGGTGGTTGTTGTGGTGGTCGTGGTTGTGGTGGTCATGGTGGTCGTAGTGGTTGTGGTTGTCGTGGTGGTCGTGGTTGTCGTGGTGGTCGTGGTTGTCGTGGTGGTGGTCGTGGTTGTTGTGGTGGTCGTCGTGGTTGTTGTGGTGGTCGTGGTCATGGTTGTGGTCGTGGTTGTTGTGGTGGTCGTAGTGGTCGTTGTGGTCGTGGTTGTTGTGGTGGTCGTGGTGGTGGTCATGGTTGTGGTGGTCGTGGTTGTTGTGGTGGTCGTAGTGGTTGTGGTTGTTGTGGTGGTGGTGGTGGTCGTGGTTGTTGTGGTGGTCGTGGTTGTTGTGGTGGTCGTAGTGGTCGTGGTTGTTGTGGTGGTCGTGGTTGTTGTGGTGGTGGTGGTGGTTGTGGTGGTGGTGGTTGTTGTGGTGGTCGTAGTTGTTGTGGTGGTCGTGGTGGTCGTAGTGGTCGTGGTTGTTGTGGTGGTCGTGGTTGTTGTGGTGGTCGTAGTGGTCGTGGTTGTTGTGGTGGTCGTGGTTGTTGTGGTGGTGGTGGTGGTTGTGGTGGTGGTGGTTGTTGTGGTGGTCGTAGTTGTTGTGGTGGTCGTGGTGGTCGTAGTGGTCGTGGTTGTTGTGGTGGTCGTGGTGGTCCTGATTGTGGTCGTAGTTGTTGTGGTGGTCGTGGTGGTGGTTGTTGTGGTGGTCGTAGTGGTCGTGGTCGTGGTCATGGTTGTAGTGGTGGTGGTGGTCGTAGTGGTCGTGGTTGTTGTGGTGGTCGTGGTGGTGGTGGTCATGGTGGTCGTGGTGGTCGTGGTGGTCGTAGTGGTCGTGGTGGTCATAGTGGTCGTGGTTGTTGTGGTGGTCGTGGTGGTCGTAGTGGTCGTGGTTGTTGTGGTGGTCGTAGTGGTCGTGGTTGTTGTGGTGGTCGTGTGGTCGTGGTGGTCGTAGTGGTCGTGGTTGTTGTGGTGGTCGTGGTGGTCGTGGTGGTCGTGGTGGTCGTAGTGTAGTGTCGTGGTTGTTGTGGTGGTCGTGGTCGTGTGTGGTCGTAGTGGTCGTGGTTGTTGTGGTGGTCGTGGTGGTCGTGGTCGTGGTGGTCGTAGTGGTCGTGGTTGTTGTGGTGGTGGTGGTCATGGTGGTCGTGGTGGTCGTAGTGGTCGTGGTTGTTGTGGTGGTCGTAGTGGTCGTGGTTGTTGTGGTGGTCGTGGTCGTAGTGGTCGTGGTGGTCGTGGTGGTCGTGGTGGTGGTGGTCATGGTGGTTGTGGTGGTCGTGGTCGTGTTGTGGTGGTCGTGGTCGTGGTGGTCGTAGTGGTCGTGGTTGTTGTGGTGGTCGTGGTCGTGGTGGTCATGATGGTCGTAGTGGTCGTGATTGTTGTGGTGGTCGTGGTCGTGGTGGTCGTAGTGGTCGTGGTGGTCGTGGTGGTGGTGGTCATGGTGGTCGTGATGGTCGTAGTGGTCGTGGTTGTTGTGGTGGTCGTGATGGTCGTAGTGGTCGTGGTTGTTGTGGTGGTCGTGGTGTCGTGGTGGTCGTGATGGTCGTAGTGGTCGTGGTTTTGTGGTGTGGTGGTCGTGGTCGATGGTCGTAGTGGTCGTGGTTGTTGTGGTGGTCGTGGTCGTGGTGGTCGTGATGGTCGTAGTGGTCGTGGTTGTTGTGGTGGTCGTGGTCGTGGTGGTCGTGATGGTCGTAGTGGTCGTGGTTGTTGTGGTGGTCGTGGTCGTGGTGGTCGTGATGGTCGTAGTGGTCGTGGTTGTTGTGGTGGTCGTGGTCGTGGTGGTCGTGATGGTCGTAGTGGTCGTGGTTGTTGTGGTGGTCGTGGTGGTCGTGGTGGTCGTGATGGTCGTAGTGGTCGTGGTTGTTGTGGTGGTCGTGTCGTGGTGGTCGTGATGGTCGTAGTGGTCGTGGTTGTTGTGGTGGTCGTGGTCGTGGTGGTTGTGATGGTCGTAGTGGTCGTGGTTGTTGTGGTGGTCGTGGTCGTGGTGGTTGTGATGGTCGTAGTGGTCGTGGTTGTTGTGGTGGTCGTGATGGTCGTGATGGTCGTAGTGGTCGTGGTTGTTGTGGTGGTCGTGGTCGTGGTGGTCGTGATGGTCGTAGTGGTCGTGGTTGTTGTGGTGGTCGTGGTCGTGGTGGTCGTGATGGTCGTAGTGGTCGTGGTTGTTGTGGTGGTCGTGATGGTCGTAGTGGTCGTGGTTGTTGTGGTGGTCGTGGTCGTGGTGGTCGTGATGGTCGTAGTGGTCGTGGTTGTTGTGGTGGTCGTGGTCGTGGTGGTCGTGATGGTCGTAGTGGTCGTGGTTGTTGTGGTGGTGGTCATGTTGTTATTGTCTGTTTTTGGATTTCTTCTTCAATTCGGCGTCGTGTTTGTTTTCTTCTGTCCCAGTGACATTTGCACTGAGGAAGACGAAGGAAAAGTCCAAACTGTCAGAACGAAAACAAACTCTCGGTCTGAAAAAAGAACCTGCGAATCACATTTTACAAACAGAATTTTCATATTTACAAATGTATTTTATTTATTGATTTATTTTTTGCAAATTAAAAGGGACGTATTTACAAATCTATTTGTGAAGACCAAAATTTAAGCTACAAATATTAAACTTGTGAATCAAAACCAAAAACAAACTAATGACATTTGTTTTTGATTGTAGATTAATGAGATAAAAGTGACTCCATAAAAAACAAACAAACAAGAAAACGCTGCAGAAAGAATCGCCACAGCCTGCAGAGGGCGCCGGAGAGACACCGGAAAAAGCGAGAGAAAGACTCGGAAAAAACGGCCGATCGACAATAAACAACAACGGGAAGTAATTATTGTTACGGTGAATCGACAAGCAAATGTGTGAAGTCTGGAGAGAAAACTATGAAATAAATGTCACATGATGTTCGGCGTCTCCAGCCACATTTATATGATTTATAACACAGGACATGAACAGAATCATACACGTATCAAGAATCTCGGACTTCCTGTCATCGCCCAATTCACACTGGGAAGGATCGTCTGAAAAAGTGAACATTAAACCTCCATGTTTGTTTCCCAGTGGGACGTGTCTATTGACAAAGTCGATCTTTTCAAGTCTTTTGAACCATTTCACTTTTGTTTCTGGTTCTGATATTGTCATATTTTAGTTTCGGGATTCGGACATTGTTAATTGTTGTGGTTGTTGGATCCAAACAGCGGAAAACGACTCCAGAAATGTGTTTGTGAACTTCATAAATGCAAAAGTGAAACAGATGTGTGTGACTCAAACCTCCGTTCAAACTGTTTCTCTTCCCAACAGAATTGAAAAATAGTGAAAGGTGAAGGTGATGGGCAGGATTGATCCACAGGAAGAACCAAAAAGGAAACATTTGTCTGACTAAGAAATCCTCCCGAGTTTACAGAGAACATTTTGTATGTGGAGCCACGACGATGGCGGGAGAACGGAGAAGGAAGGGGGCACCGGAGAACCTCGGCATCGTCTACCGGCAGCATCGGAGGCGAGGAGCGGCTCGGCACGGGAACTCCTTTGTCTGCAGCAGAGAGACCGTGCAGTGAAGGCGGTGCAGGTGAACCACGGAGGAGCCACGCGGAGGCGGAGGAGCCACACCCGGCGTTTGCCAGGCCCAGAACATCCACCTGGTAGGCCTACGCTAAATGTTTAAGCGTCTACTAGGATGGTGCGTTTACAGAACTCTGACTTTTGGGCACGGGGCGCGAATGGATTTGTGTACACTGTAAATACGAACACTGTAAAAAATATGGACCAAGGGTTTCAACAAAAAATTGAGGGGGCCGGTGATGATGATGGTTTTGATGCAGTGAACTGGGAGGCACCAGAGATATGCACCACAGTGGTGGATGCTTTTGCATCAACAGGGGCCGGAACCAGCACTAACATGGATTTATCCCAAAGTGAACCTGTTCTTTCACCTGAACCCCAGAAGGACCTTGATACCTTCGCCATGGACCACACACGCTGCAGCCATAGCGGACCACGCACAGGGCAAGTTTTGGCCGCTACATTGACAATATCAGAAACAAAAGTGAAATGGTTCAAAAGACTTGAAAAGATCGACTTTGACAATAGACACGTCCCACTGGGAAACAAACATGGAGGTTTGATGTTCACTTTTTACGGAAAATCCTTCCCAGTGTGGACTGTACGATGACAGGAAGTCTGAAATTCTTGATGCACGTATAAAAGTCACATTACGTACGAAACACTGAGCTGTGACACAGAGAGCGCCCCCTGCAGGTCGTGGTGACTCTTTACGCAGCGTTTTTCACCGTTTTCTTGGTTTTCATCGTTTTGTGCTTTTCATCATTTCTCTGTTTGACGACGACACGTTTGTCTTTGTTTCTCGTGTCGCGTTTCTTTTCGTTTGTTCCACGTTCTTTGTTTGTTCCTCGTTTAAACTCGTTTTCAACTCGGTGAATTTTCTGTTCGTTTCTGGACTTGAAGCCGTTTTCACCGATTTAAACTCAGTCGACCTCTGTACGGTTCAACTGACATCACCACGTTCTTCAGACCAATCAGATCTCACACAGAAGGGCACCTGACACACGGGGAGGGCACCTGACACACACGGGGCGGGAGGATGGGAGGGCATCTGGGGTATATAAATGACAGTTCCAAAGAGTAAAAAAAAAAAAAAGAAGAGAATTATTCACATTATTTTTGTTTTTTACAATGAACATTTTACACCATATTTACAGCACCTGTCACTACCTGCCCAAAAACTCAGAGAAACGAGACAGTTCAGGTTTGGACAAGAGGAAAAACAAGAAGATAAAAGTATAAAACAGGATTAAATATGAAAATATAATAAAGGTTTAAGACGGTGACGAGCTGGAAACCGAGGTGAGAAGAAACCTGGACTAAACCAGGACTAAACGAGGTCTAAACCAGGACTAAACCAGGTCTAATCCATTTATTCTCTCCACACTCTGTGTTGGTATTTCTATAGCCACAGCTATAGAGTGAAGAAGGTGAACCTGATCTGCACCATCAACCAACACACCTGTGACACACCTGTGACACACCTGTGACACACCTGTGACACACCTGTGAAACACCTGTGACACACCTGTGACACACCTGTGACACACCTGTGACACCTGTGACACACCTGTGAACACACCTGTGACACACCTGTGAAACACACCTGTGACACCTGTGACACACTGTGAAACACCTGTGAAACACCTGTGAAACACCTGTGACACACCTGTGAAACACCTGTGAAACACCTGTGACACACCTGTGAAACACCTGTGACACACCTGTGACACACCTGTGACACACCTGTGACACACCTGTGAAACACCTGTGACACACCTGTGAAACACCTGTGAAACACCTGTGAAACACCTGTGACACACCTGTGACACACCTGTGACACACCTGTGAAACACCTGTGAAACACCTGTGACACACCTGTGAAACACCTGTGACACACCTGTGACACACCTGTGACACACTGTGAAACTGTGAAACACCTGTGACACACCTGTGACACCTGTGACACCTGTAACACACCTGTGACACACCTGTGACACACACTGTGACACACCTGTGAAACACCTGTGACACACCTGTGACACACCTGTGACACACCTGTGACACACCTGTGAAACACCTGTGACACACCTGTGACACACCTGTGACACACCTGTGACACACCTGTGACACACCTGTGACACACCTGTGACACACCTGTGACACACCTGTGACACACCTGTGACACACCTGTGAAACACCTGTGACACACCTGTGACACACCTGTGACACACCTGTGAAACACCTGTGAAACACCTGTGACACACCTGTGACACACCTGTGACACACCTGTGACACACCTGGGTCTGATAAAGATGAGGTGATGCGCTGCTGCTGCTGTTGCTGCTGCTCAGAGAGAGGCTCCTGACCAATCAGAGTTTGCAGAGGGACTGGGGAACCCAGGACTAAAGCAGGACTAACAAGGACCCAGGCTAAACCAGAACTGAACCAGGATCATCAGGACAGTCTGAGCTGAAGCACAAACTTCAAAAATAAAAACCCAAAGTGTGGATCTAAAAGAGGAAAAAGCACCAGGTACGTCTCACCTCGGACACGACAGAATCTCAGGGACAAAATCACAAAATCAAAACAGATTTAAACAGAAACCTTCAGAAGAAACAGAACTGAACCCAAACTTTGAGATATTGCTTTGAAAATCCTGTACAAAATGGAGCTTGGGTTTGTGCGAAAAACATCAAGACGATTCAACATTTGAGACTGGAAATGGAACGAGGAAGGACCATCCGCAATCCTGGTCTAACTGTGATCCAAAACAGGTCCAGAGGGGGTCTTTTTATGATCCGAGTCTAGTCCAGGCCTAGTCCAGGTCTAGACCAAGTTTTCTTCAGTCCAGGTGAGGTCCAGAAGAGGTCCCAATGTAGTCCAAGATCTGGTTCTTGCTGGGTTTTGTCCGAACCAGAGGTAAACTGAGAGTGAACCAGGACTAAACCAGGACTTAACCAGGATTAAAACAGGACTTAACCAGAACAAACACAGGACTAGACCAGAACTCAACCAGGTCTTTCAGGGTCTTGTCTGAAACTCAAAATGGTCCAGTTTTATTCCAGTTTAAGGTCTTGGTTTAGTCTTTGGAGGATCTCAGTCCTGGCTGGGTGCTGGTTGGGTCCTCCTTCTGTACTGGTTGAGTTCATAGTCCTGGTTTAGTCCTGGCTCAGTCCTGGACTTTGTTGGAGGATCTCAGTTATTCTGTAGACAGTCCAGGTCGACGGCACAGCACACACTTCCGTTCTGAAGAAGAAGAAGAAGTCAGAAAACTACAGATGTTTTTGCTTTGTCTGGAATGTTCCACAGTATGGCATTAATCCTTTTTATCTTCATGGAAACCAAACCAGACCAAGTTCAAGTCGCAGTCAGACTGTTTGTTTTTCTCTGTATTTTTTAACTCTAAAACCTGCACCTGTAATAGAATAAATGTAAAGTAAATCTGTTTTATGTCACACTGCGGAACATTCCAGGCAAGGGCGATGATGTCACCATAGAAACAAGCAGGTGAGGGACACCCAACCGAAAAGTTACGCAGTGCACACTTTTTGTGAGGTGAGTTCATATTTAACCGTCCGGGGTAAATCTTTTGTGAATGAGACGAAACTGAAATGAACTGGTCCTAAAGTGTGTGTCTGTCGTGTGTGTGTGTGTCTGTCGTGTGTGTGTGTGTCTGTCGTGTGTGTGTGTGTCTGTCGTGTGTGTCTATTGTGGAATGTTAGCGGTTACCATGGAGACACAATGCACACGTTAGCGAACACTGACAAAAACTTTT